TCTCTCTCTCTCTCTCTCTCTCTCTCTCTCTCTCTCTCTCTCTCTCTCTCTCTCTCTCTCTCTCTCTCTACCCTAGATCGTCACCCTGGATACACTCATTCAGGTAAGCTTACGCCTTGGCGGCTATGGCCGCCCTCCTCCTACGCTATCCCTAACCTAGCTATGGAGTAACTCGCGAGCGCCCTCTTCCTCGTCAGTCGCGCAGTGCCCAAGTTGCCTTAACGCGCAAGCAGCAGCAGCGCTTCCGCATCTCGCATCTGAGCAAGTGTTGAGTCACTGCAGTGTAGCAGCTAAATATAGGACGTGGCTTGGCTTGGCTTGGCTTGGCCTGCTTCAGATTGGTACCGGTCGGCCGCGGCCTGTCTTCTGCAAACATTTTGTCGGTCCGGTACCTTTCGGACTTTCCTGGGACCTGCTGCAAAATTGGACTTGGGACTGTTGGACTGGACTGGGCTCTTCTGGACTTTTTCTGTCGGGTACTGGACGGACTTCTACCGATCTACGACTTTTTGGTACGGACACCTTCCAACCTACGACACTTCGGACTATGGACCCTACGGCCTATCCCACTGGGACATCCTGGGACTAGGACACTTCGGGACTCTGGGACCGGGACTGGGGTGTTTCCAGTGTGAATCCTTTCGTAACAACTAAAAGGAACGAAGAGTCCTGACTCCTGACTGATTTCTGCCCTTTTTGTGGACGCCTGTGTTGTGCAGCAACGGGTTTTATTGCTTTTCTTATCAATGTGGCAGTGGAAAACCTTGCTGGTTGGAAGTTTACTGCAACATTCTGGGTCATGCAGTATTCCTACATTCTATCCTTTTTTGTGTACGTGCTTTGCAACGGTCTCCTGGTGTTTTCATCAGTTGTGATTGTCACCTACTTCGCTCCTATGGCGGCAGGATCAGGCATTCCTGAGATAAAGGGCTACTTGAATGGTGAGCAAATCATGTTATGGTTCCCTAAGCTCTGCCCTTTGCCAGCGAAATCAAAGAAATCCCAGGAGTAGTCCTGTCCATGACAGCTGTCAATTATCATCCCCCCTATCACTTCCTTGTGTGCAGACAGCCTTGCTGTTCATGTGCGATCACGGCATTGTGCCACGTTTGATCGAATCACCAGTCTCTGGCCACGTGGCACCACCCCCCTCCTCTCACGGCTTCACTGGCATTGGCACTGGTGTTGTCGTTATCATGATGTGGATGTGTGTTCCATTTTAGCACTTGCTTATCTTATCGTAAAGGTGTGCATTCAGGTGATGCTACAGTTAGTAAGAAATTGTACTGGCATCAACTGTCTCCTGCCACCTGGCAACCCCTGCTGGCACTGCTGCACTGGCATCGTCAATTGCATACTGTCACTGACATTGTCGTTATCATGATGTGGATGTGTGTTCCATTTTTGCACTTGCTTCTCTTATCGGAGACGTGTGCAGTCAGGTGAATTACGATGTTAAGAAATTGTATTCGCATCAATGCCGATCCAAATTTGTCCCCTTTTCTGCAGCCTTCTAGAGATGTAGATGAAAATGAATTAAGAAAGCATGTGTGAATGCATGAAATGCATATGAAGTGTCAAATAAAGGGAAAGAAAAGGAAGAGGAAATGGAGATGGTTAAAAATCCGAGAAGTCTGGAGAACCCTCCCGCCCCCAAAGAAAAGAAGACTCTGTCCAGGGAAAACCAAGGAGGGGAATATGGAAAGATGCAGAAATGGAACAAGACGTTGTGAATGAAAAAAATCCCTAGTAATCAATGCTGTCAGTGTTTTGTCGGCTGTGGTGGACGGAAGCATCAGATTGGGTTACATAGTAGTAACCGAACTGATGCTCCCCAGAATATAATGGACAAGACTGCAAGGTCCGTTTTTTTGCTTATAAGAGTAAGAGAGAGAGAGAGAGAGAGAGAGAGAGAGAGAGAGAGAGAGATTCCCCAAAGATAGGTGATCTAAGCATGACATGTTTAATTGAAGATGAAAAATGAAGTTGCTGAGGCTGATAAGGACGTCAAAGAACTAGAAAGTGCCCCCTACTATCTAGAAGTAGTCTCTGCCTGCTCTGGCAATCCTCCCCTACAATAAAGGACAAGCAGCAAGTGGGTGAAGTTTCTCTCATCCAGGAAGCATGGCAAGGGGGAGCATCAATTGGCTTTGACATGCGGACACTGCATTCAGTTCTTGGGTACGACAATGACCACGGAGTAAAGGGAGAAGGAGAGGAGGAGGAAGAAGAAGATAGGGAGACAAGTGGGTGATGAAAAGGAGGATGAGGAGGAGAATGATGGGAGAGAACGTGGATGAGGAAGTAAGAGGCGAGAGAGGAGAAACTGGAGAAGGGAACACAACCTAGGACGGCAAGACGATGGGAGGGGGAGGAGGAAGCTGCTGAGCTTGACATTTGGCAGGAAGATCTGTACCTCTTCGTTTCTCCCTCCTCTCACAATCGTAGAAAAGCAACATGCAACATGTTATGTGTGAGTAATATGCTGTCACAGCTCTTCCGTGTGAGTAATTCATGCTTTTATGCTTTCGTGGTTGACTGCAGGCATTGATACTCCAGGGATTCTACTCTTTCGGACGCTTGTTGGCAAGGTGTGTTTTTCAACATTCTGGTAGATGGCCCTCTTGGAGGCAGTCAGCTTTGGCAACACTGATGCCAAGAACCTGAAGAAGCAATAGGCTGCCACAGAAAGATTCGTCCATTTATGCACATAACCCATGTCTATCTACCGGTCAGACCACCACCACCTCCTCCTCCTCCGCCTTGTGCTCCTTGTCCTCCTTTGTGAATTCTGCTTCATCTTCTTGTCTGTTATGATCCTGCCCAATTTCGAGATACACATCCATCAGATAGTACAATGCCGTCCAATTGCAGAAAGAAATGAATGAACTTGAGAGGAGAGAGAGGATTAGAAGAAGAAGAAGAAGTAAGAAAGAAGAAGAAGATGATGTACACCAGCATAGACAAATGACAAGGCTCTTCTTCTTCGCCCAACAATCTCCTCCCCCTTATCTCCCCCTTCTCTTATTCATACAAGAAATAATAACACAATGTTGAATGGCTGACCCAGAATCAATGTCCGAGTTCCTCTTCTACTGCCGGCATCACTTGAGGTCCACCATAGCCATGGCCGCCTCGTCCTTCCGTCATCATCATAGGCCGAGGTTATGGCGGACTACTAGGCCTTGCCCAGATGCCCAAAGGACAACCCAAAGCAGCTACGACTGCTCTAGCTCAGGCCACCATGCCTGACCCTGCCTCTAAGCTTCTTCGTGTAGCTCTCCCCAGTTGGGGACTCCCTGCTGCAGCGCTCACCAAGGTGATGAATATGGCTGCCACCATAGCCAGGTAAGTACCCCTGGCGCTCCTCCCCCTTCCTGTCCTTCTTCCTCCTCCGTGTCCTTCTCCTTCCCCCAGCAGCGCTGCTCCGGATAGCGCTGCTCCAGCCGGCGCTCCAACCAGTGTGTCGCCAAACTTGCACACTGAGAATGAGGCCGGGCTCTTCGCCCGGCTGGGAGATATAGCAGCCTGCTTGCCTCTTCGGGCGGTGACTTCCGGGCCGCTCGGCCTTCCAAGCAACCGGTACCTCCTCCCTTTCGGAGGGAAACAGCATTGGACTCTGATATTGCCCGTACAGGCCCTAAACCCAGACTGGTTGGACTGGTATCCGCCTAGACCTAACCTACAACTACTGGGCCTCTAAAAATGCCACTTTTGTCTTCTTCTGCTCGGCCTCCAGTGCCTGCACATCTACTTCTTCAAGGTGCGGTACCGGCGCACCTTCCTACCCGCTTCTTGAGTGTTTTTCCCGCTGCAATCCCTCAATGGCACATATCCTCTTCAAGGTGCGGTACCGGCCTACCCGCTTCTTGAGTGTTTTTCCCGCTGCAATCCCTCAATGTCACGGCCACAGGTAAGTACCGGCCCTGAGGGCCCAATGAACGAGCAAGTGCCCTTGCGGGCCACACACACACTCAAGCCAACCAGCACTCAGACAGGCACGGCCGCACACACACTCAAGCCAACCAGCACTCAGACAGACATGCAGTCCAGCAAGCATGCACACACAGACTTAGTAGCAGCAGGCGGGAAACTCAGCAAGGCATTCAGTCTATGGGCAGAACTCAGAAATCAGCCGTGTGTTTCAGTCCATGTTTGGACGGGTCATCACGTCTTCTTTTTTTCCTACGGTTTTCTTAATTTTCTTCGTTGTTTTTCTTTTCTTTTCTGGGTAGTTGGCTTCGTGCAATGAAATCATTTTGAGAGTTGGCTGAGCAGAGCGGGGTGTGACTTGTGTTTGGTCTTTGTTTGCTTGATGGGGAGTTTAATGCGACAACTGGAGTAACCGATGCGACCCTGTCTTAGTCGTCCCAGCTCTTCTGTCCTCTGTTCGCTCTCTCTTTCCTTCTCTATGTGAAGTTTTTACATTGTACCTGTTCTGCCATGATGTGTATATATTTCGGAAATACATTTCAGAAAATTATTCAGGGTGTGCTTGAGAGGGAGTGGACCGGTCATAAGGTTACTTGTGTATGATGTTCCAATAACCCTGCACAGTTCTCAGTCTGGGAAATGCGAGTTTTTCCTTAGCAGATTTGTGTGTCTGTTAAGATCCTGAGTTTTTCCTGGGTTTATCCTGGATGAATCCATGTCTATTGCTGTAGGTTTGGGTTGTGCAAGTGTTTGGGTGGCTCACTTGTCTGTCCGTTGTTTGATCTGGGCTCAGGAGGACCTCTGTAGATGCTGATTTTTGTGGGCAAGAATTTGTAAATTTCTGCACCAGGATGCTTACCTGAGGTCCGTCGCACGATGGAAGGAATTGTCTGCAATATGGAAGCCTAGAAGGTGTAGGGTAGGACTAATCTGGGGCCCAGAGCAAGTAATGACAACGTATGATGTACAGGGATGCAGTGGTGACAGCACGGGCACCTTGTTTTTCCAGCAAGTTGGACAGGTCCTATGTGGGGTAGGCTTCGTGGAGGGAGTAAGGGAGGTCAGATAGTAGGCTGGATATGGTCTGGCCAGCTAAGCTTACAAGTGTAACGGTGGTATCCACCGCTGGTACAGTGCAGTAGTGGCCAGGCGCGGCCTAGAGTGGTCGGGTAGTGAGGCTGCTTGCCGTGGAGCTGATCCGTCCAGCCGATATATTACTTGATGGATAACTCAGTTTAAGTCAGTTGCTCACCTTCGGTTGCTTGGCTGAAGCTCTGCCTTGAGGGTGGTTGGACGGAGCAGCTGAGGTGGAGGATGAGGCGTGAGGGTGAAAAGAAGGCCCTCATGGCAATGGAGGTGAAGGGGGAAGAAGAAGAAAAGTAGGGTTGGCTATGGTAATGGAGAGGTGAGCCCACATTGGATTATGGGGGGAAAGAGGTGCCCTCTTTAGATTAAGAGGAGGAGGAAGGAGGAGGTAACCGTGGCGCAGATTTATCTGTGGCTATCGTGGACTACCATCTTCACTCTCAAGCTTGGTGCATCCTAAGATTGGAGCTGAATGGAAACCTTCTTTTAGGGTACCGGCTAGACGGAGCCTTCATCTGAGAAAGGCATTGAGGCGGCTGTGCAGGAGGAAGAGAAAGTAGGGTGTGCCACCCTCTGTGCATCTTGCTGAATAGCGGGATGGTCTTAAAAAATCACAGCGCTACTGGAAGGAGAGAGAGGAGTAGGAAAACTGAAGGGAGGTTGCTTTCCAAAGGCAGTGCTAGGAGATTCATCGGATGCTGATTCTTTGTCCATCCATCCATTCTTTGAATATAATCGGTTCGTAAAGCGGAGGAGGAGAGTTTGAAGGGGATGATGCGGTCGGTACATGAAAAAGGGGGATGGCATTGGTGGTCCGTTTGGTCTTCTTCTCCTTCTTCTATCCTTGATTGCATTGGTGATCCTTTTGGTCTTCTTCTCCTTCTTCTTCTATCCTTGATTGCATTGGTGATCCTTTTGGTCTTCTTTTCCTTCTTCTATCCTTGATTGCATTGGTGATCCTTTTGGTCTTCTTCTCCTTCTTCTTCTATCCTTGATTCCTTACTTTTTCTTCGTTTTTCTCCCTTTCATCCACTCGATTCCGGTGTTGGTATTAATAGCATGGTCTTAAATCTGAGTTTTCATCATGAATGAACTACAATAATAGCAATGTTGTTCGTTTGAAGTGCCTGTCAGGCCTTTGCATGCCGTAACTGCACAAATCTCCTGTATGCTGTCTATGTTTGGGAAGGCGGTGTTTTCAGACTACTGTACAGGAAAACGGGTGGGTCGTGACTCGTACGTGAACTCCACTCATGCGGCTGCTGTGGTTTAAAGGGTACTGTGGCCTGCAGTTCACATAACTGAATCTGTTTTGCACTGCTTCTGTGATATTCACTATTGTTTACCGGCTCTCTTCTTTGTCAATTTCTTCCTCCCGCCCACAACTTTAAATCCTGGTCATATTAAGAGTCTGAGTCCTTGCACAGGAGTTGACTGTTTGAGTTGGTGTGGCTGGATGGGTGTGGGTGGTATAACAGGTGTTTGGCAGCTTAGGATCTGTTGCTGGTGGCTTGGCACTTGGCAAAGAGGGGCCTCTTGTACATACCGGAGCATGTATTGCCTCTCTTATGGGTCAGGTACGAGAGAACTTATCATTGTTATCAACATAAATAAACGTCTGATGTCTGTTGCATCTCTGGAGTTGCATGTTAAAGGTCAGACCATCCTGTCATCGGCCCAAGTTATGTCGAAGTTATCTTGGGTACCTACCATTTATCCCTAGTTAACAGCAGCCTATCACCAATTCAAAAATGGGGTCAGTTGTTCCTGATAGAATCAAAACTCATCCCACTTCTGTTCAAATGAAGTGGCTCGTTTCTTTTTCTTGTAAACTTTCTGGGTTTGGGGCACCGTCCATAGGAAGGTAGTGCATGCCACTGACATCCCCAGACACAATGCACCCTCATCATGACCGGATCATGCCAACAGATAGCTTCCATACATTCATCATTAGGGTGCATTGGGTTCAGGGTAAAACAGTAGTGGTGAGGAGAGCATAGTATGCTTAGTCTTTGTGTGCTGCAATGGGTGCATTGTGTTCACGGTAGTGGTGAGGAGAGCATAGTGTGCTTAGCTTTTGTGTGCTGCAACCGATGCAATATCAGCTGCTGTGTACTTGAGCCCAGGGGATATCATATCCCTGTGGGAGAGCAATTGGTCTACAGGTCCTTCTAAAAGAAGTGCTCTCCTGATGACGCAGAATGCCATGTGGCAGTCGAGTCACATCTTCAAAGTTCTGAAATACGAATGACACCTACAAATGAAGACTGTAAGTGGTGCAAATTGCTCATGGTGATCGGTAGGCTAAACCCGGTGCAAATTTGTTCATGGTGAATGGTGGAATGAACGACACTTGCGGAAGAAGAGTATTAAGCACTTGTGAAGTGGATGGTTGCTTGTGACAGGATGATTAGGCTACTGAAGAAACAATGAATAGCATGGTAACTGAGGATCTGGACGCCGGACCTTTCTGGACAGAAAAACAGACCTCCTCCCGGATAAATCCAGACGCACGAATAACCGGACAACAGCTGGACACCTGTACATATCTGGACCTGGACTGTTTGGGCAGGGGACCTGGACCCCAAATATGTGCGGATCTGTCAAAGGAAAAAAACATATGTTGGAGATAGATAGATAGATAGATAGATAGATAGATAGATAGATAGAGAGAGAGAGAGAGAGAGAGAGAGAGAGAGAGAGAGAGAGAGAGAGACCAATCTGGTATTTTAAGGTCTTTTGCAACTGTTTCATTAGCCACCAGTACTGGAGAAAGGTGCGCCCGTTTACACGCCGGCCTTGTCGGGATGTACGGGCTGGCCTCCACCCAGTTAAATTCAGAGGTGCCTAGAAGTTCGCAGAGGGTGGAGGAATGATCCCGAGTACTGGTGGTCGAACCTTGTAATTCTTGGAATTCCGCTTCTGTAGAGCCCTCAAGTGCCCATTTCAGCTTAGCATTGCTAGAGTTGCTATTCATGAAAGCTTTTGCCCCGTTGTGCATCACATATCACAAGTTTTGCTTTTTAGATTTCAATTGTGAAACCTTCATTGAATCAAGATCTGAATGGTGAATAGGGTCGCCTCTCTATTGCCAATCGCCTAATGCAGCCCGGTTGATGAGAGACATCCCCTGTCCAAAGCTACTCTCCCTAATTAGTTTTTCATTCGCAGCCTCCCAAGAGTTTGAACCGTGAATAGAAATGCCTTGTTATCCCCTGTCTCAGGGTATGTTTGTTAATTAGTTTTTCAGTCAAGGGTGTATGAGATACTCAGGGGGATTGCATTTCATGGTCAAATTTTCCGAGAATCAAGATGTGAATGGTGAATAGGGTCAACGATTTATGCTTTACCACCTAATGGATCTTGATTGACGAGAGACATCCCGTGTCTGTGAGGGATGATGATTTCCAACTGGAATCTTTGCCTGCCCTCTGTAGTTCTGCGGCATGTGCCTTGTGTTCTTGTCCTTCGAGATCACCTTGCCTCCTTCGTCGGGAAGCTCATGGACGATCTCCCCTGTTTGGAAAGAGCAGGACTTCTGCTTTTCAAGAAGTGCTTGAACACCCCTGTGGCTGAACCCCTCAATATCTGGGAGCAGAGATGGCACCGCTGAACCCCTCCATATCTGGGAGCAGAGATGGCACCTGACCCAGCACTTCCCGCAGGATTTAGGGATGGCTTCCTGTCCCTGCTGACACCAGTTCCAGACCTTATTCTTCAGCCGCATTTTTTTTCTGATGCCGTTTGCTCCCTGGCGTGGCCTCTCTGACAACTTTTGTGGTGGTGAGAGCTGACCTGCTTTTCTGAGTGCTTGCCCCTTGCATGCCCCTACACATTAGGAACACCACACAGCGGCTCTTTCCCCTTGCATGCCTTGGAGCCTCTTGTCCGTCCAGGCCCGACACTGCCGCCACCCACCATGATGCTGTTGCATGCCTTGGAGCCTCTTGTCCGTCCAGGCCCGACACTGCCGCCAACCACCATGATGCTGTCAACTTCCAAGAAGAAAAAGAAGAAGACGATGGCAATGGAAAAAAGGGGGGCAGTGGAGGTGCCCAAGTCGTGAACTACAAGAAGATTCAAGTGCAGGGGAGAGCCTAGAAATGCACGCAGCAGAAAATAATAAAGAAAAAAGGATGAAAGTTCAAGTCTTGAACCTCGAGAAAAAGGAGGACGACGAGGAGTTGGCAATGGGGGAGGGGAGGGGCGACATGTTGGTGTGGAGTGCGCTGGGCAGGGGAGGGCTCAGAACTGGGGGCACCAAGCAGAGAAAGAATAAAAGAGGATGAAGTTGAAGTCTTGAACTTCGAGAAGATGCATCAAGAAGAAGAAGCTGGTGGTGATGGGGGAGTGCAGGGCGGTGTATCTTGGGAGGGCCATGGGGGAGGAGGAGGGCGAAGTTGATTGGGGGGACGATGCCGATGAGGAGGGCAGTGTCAATGGGGAGGACGAGGGGAGGGAAAGGCCTAGAACTTGGGGCAGGAAGTGACGAAAGAAAAAGAAAAGAAATGAAATGAAGAAAAAAAATGGAGTTAGTCTCAAACGTCCTGAACTTCGGGAGGAAGAAGAGGATGAAGATGAAGGCGATGGCAGTGGGAGAGGAGAGCGCGATGTCGATGGGGAGGGTGAGGTCAGAGAACGGCCTAGAAATGGGGGTAGCGAATAGCAAAAGTTCAAGTCTCAGACTTCAAGACGATACAAGAAAAAAAGTAGTAGTAGAAGAAGAAGAAGAAGAAGAAGAAGAAGAAGAAGAAGAAGTATAAAAGTTAAGGGAGGGTGAGAGTGAAGTGCCGATGGAGGGTGGGGGGGGAAGAAGAAGCATAAAAGTTAAGGGAGGGTGAGAGTGAAGTGCCGATGGAGGGTGGGGGGGATGGCGATGAGAGAGGGTGATGAGGGAGGGCGATGAGAGAGGGTGATGAGGGAGGGCGATGGAGGAGGGTGAGGGGGCAGGGTGAGGGGGGAAGGCAAAGGAGGAAGCGGAACGATGGAGGAGGGTGAGGGGGGAATGCTATGGAGTAGGCGCTGCGATGGGAGAGGGCGATGAAGGAGGGTGAGGGGGGAAGGTGGTGGGGCAGGGCGATGGAGGAGGTGGAGGACGGGGGAGGGAAATGGAGGAGGGCAAGGTGAGAGAGGAGGGTGTAGTGGCTGGAAGCGAAGTGGGGAGGGAGGGGGGTCATGGCATGGTGGAGCGCTCAGCAACTGGATGGTTTGATTAGTCTTCAACCCCTATACCCAACCTCGACGAATGATTTGCATGTCAGTATGGGTGTGATCCTCATCACCATCTTTCGCGCCCCAGCACACAAGCTCTCTGTCTCTCTCTCCAAGAAGAAGAAGAAGAAGAAAGCAATGCAAAGAAGAAGAATGCAGTGTGATGGAGACGACCACAGCAGAAGTGCAATCTAGGGCAATGCCCATGCGATGAAGATCAGCAGCAGCTGCACAATGGCGATACACAACAGCAGTGTGATGGTCCGTGAAGCAACGCCGTGTGCTGTTAATGAACGAAGTGCAGTGGCAATGTGGGGTGATGGGGAGCGAGTGACGGCAACAGGGGGCAGTTCAGCATTTGAACTCCGGCGAGAATGGTAAGAAAACGGCGGGTTATCTTAGAAGATTGGCAGCCTAGATCAGTGCCGCCTTTTATTTCAAGGTGGAGGTGGTCTCAGGGAGGTGGTGGGAGGCCGCCCAGGCCTTTTGGGCCATTACCTCTCCCCAGCAGAAATGCACTGGGGCCGCCCAGGAGTGGACTGGCCCGGCAGATCAACCGGTTTGCCTGGGAGACTTCCGAATGAGGGAGGGCGGCCCACGTGGCCCTGGGCGCAGCAGAGAAGAATAGCTTAGGTAAGAAAGAGGAATCTCTAGATGGTTGATTGTGAGGAGCTGGATGATTGTCGGGAACTTATTCTGTGTGAATGGACGGTTGAGGCTTGGGAATACCGTTCAAGGTGCACGGGCCATTGGATGAGCCCATCGTGCGCTTTGGCTGCAAAGTTTTTAGGGCCATCACACAATCATGTGAATTGCGGCAGGATTTGCCCCCAGACTCCTCTGGAACTGGATGCTTCATTGCTGAACTCGTCTGGAACCTACGGGGAAGAATCAAAACTCGCAGAACCTACCAAACCAATAGATAACACAAGAACCTGCACAAGCGTAGCAGAAGGTACTACTGACAAAAGCAGAATTTTGATTATGATGCCGCAGTTTCTATGTTGTACAGGGTATCTATGTCACAATTTCTGTCCCTTTCTTCTTGTTTCAAAACATGGGGAACTGCACTGCATCATAATGCGAACCAACTTCACTTGCGATTGCAGTGTGCGGCAAAGAATGAGAGTAATTAAAATGAAGAGAGCTCATTCTTGCAGTGAGCAGTTCCGGAGCTCTTCATTGTAATAAAAATTTCCATGTGTTGTGCAATGATTCGCAAGCCAATCACCACTCAACCTCACACACACATGCAATGAGCATCCTGAAGAGAGCTCATCCTTGTAATAAACAATTTCATGCTTGTTTTTTTCTAGGCCATTGATTTGCCGATCGATGCTGACCGTCTCTGCTTGCCTCTGAGTGAATGTTCTGTGGTTTCAGGTCTCAGACTATGCCTGTCTCTTCTCTGTCAGGCTTTGCTGCAAATTCTCAATATGATTCTATTGGTGGATGTTTGACATTGTTTGCCTTTCCTGTATCTTTTGGGCAGGGGGGCTCGACGAAGTACCGGATAACGTGGAGATGGTTGCGCATCTTTAAAAATGATCGCGATCAGCGTGATTTGGTATGTGATCCAAGCGCACGATCATTATTGTTTCATCAAGGATGTTAAGTCCCTAGGATTTTGATCTGAAATGGATTACTCACTTGTGTGGTAAGTGTTCTAAGAACTGGTTTAGAATGAATGGCGCACTGCACTGCCCATCCAATGGTAAAACGTTTGTCCTTGTTAGCTGTTTAACTTGTCTTTTTTCTGCCCTTTATAGTAGTGAGCAAGTTTTCTGCTTTATAATTGGTTTTTGTCCATTCATGCTAGTGAAGAGTAGTGAGCACGTTATACTGCCTCGTGAATTCTATGTGCTGAAATGGTTTTTAGTAACTTTTTACCATTCATTTTAGTAAATAAATGTCAAATAAGATCCTTGCAGGTGTATGTAACCTTCACTTGCAGATGCATTACCATCTGGTCCTCTGTGCCGTTAGTTAAAAGCGCTAAGTGGGGGGAGGGGTACCAACCCGTCCCCCACGCGTTTCAATTTCGCGATCCCGTGGCCTGAGTGCAAAACGGGTTGTTTTCCAGGGCGATGAACATGCAATTCAGGTCATCAGAGATGCATTCCTGGATGGCCTGGGTTGCATTGCGAGGCCCAAGGCCTCGATAAGCCCTACCGGGCCCTCTTTTCAGTCCAGTCGCCCGTCCTAAGTGAAGGCAGGCCCGACCAAGGACTATTTTGGGGTCTTCACGCTACTGGGGAAATTCAGGCAGTTGCGCAGCGCCAGTTGATTGAAAGCGCCCTGGCCCTGGCCACTTTTATCAAATGCATCTGAGTCAGGCCCTGGGCGAGATACGCAACAGGGACCCAACACAGGCTCCGGGCTGTTGGGCACGGGTAACTGTCACAGGCCCTGGTCCTGAATCGTTCAGACTGGGGCTCAGCCTCCCGGGGCCTACTGGAAGCTTCTGAGCCGGGGCCCGGTGCAGCCAGGTCGCACGCAGCAGGCAGGCCACTTACATTCAGGAAAGTGCCTGCCCCCGCATTCTGCATTCGGGCACTGGCTGCATGCTGCACAGGCGCTGCTGCGCTATACGCTGGCCAGCGCTCGTGTGCTCACGGGCGAGCTGGATGAGCAGGCAGCCATAGCCGAGCTGCGCTGCTGTAAGCTGGATGGGGCGCATGGTGGTCCTTGGGTGCAAGTGGCATCTGTGAGTGGGGGATCGAGGTTGTGAGTGATACGAGAGACATACCTGGTGCTTGAGGCGAACGGCATTGGCCGAGATCTGCTCGTACTTCGGGGAGCTGTTGACGTCACCGGCGGCATTGTAGATAGG